GTTGGACTGGATGGTCTGTAAGGTCCCTTCCAACCCAAACCATTCTCTGATTTTAGGATTTGCTATATACGGTGAAGTTTAAAAAGTGCTTTATTGTTCAAAATGAAAAGTTCTGCTGTGCCGCTCCACATCTGTGGGCAACGCAGAGACACCGGGCCTGTTCGCTCCTTCATTCCTTGAAGAGAACAGATTCCAGCTTCCACATTCAATAGGAAACACAGAAAACATAAATAAAGCGGCCTTTACCAAAAGCCTGATTCCATACTCGATTAGAAATTTTGATAACTTTGTCAATATTGAACTGGAAGTCAAAAAAACAAAGGTTCTGATAAGCAAAAATTATGCTACAGTGAGGTAAATTCTGTGCCTCTGTTTAAGTGGAGATCTCCAGGGTGGTGAGCATACGGCATGACCTCACCTTCACTTACAGCAAGAAACATCATATACAGGAAACCCCTGAAAGACCTCTGGGCCATTTCCATCTGCTCAGAAACCTCTGTGCGGCTGCAGTTTTTATGTTACTCTGTAAATGTTTCCTCCATTCAAGAAAAACGACAGCGGTTTCACACCCTTGTGAAGAGGAGGCTCCAAATCCCTTATTCGAGATAGGAGACAGCCCTTCCCCGCCCAGACATGCTTTCCCCACCAGATAAAGTCTAAAAAAGAAAAAGCATAACAGGGAAAAGGTTGCTCTCCAAAGGCAGAATAAAACAACAAAATGCAGCGGCACAAGAGAAGGTGTTTTCAAAGTTCTGGAAAGATCCCGTAAGAAATTCTACGCAAGGAGCTTGGAAGGGTTGATTCATCTGAGGCTGGGCGCAGAGATTAGCTTCCTATGAAAACAAATTCATTCTTGAATTCAGTTTGAGACAAGCTGTGATAGAAGACAGAGCCCTTGGTTTGAGCACAGGCTACTGGATATACAAGCTTCCCCGGCCAAAGGTCCTCTGCTCCGGAGATCTGTCCCAGAGCCTCCGCGGGCAACACGAACTGCCGTGCGGAGTCACCGGAGGCCGGCACATGTGGGAGACAGCTCGCCGGCCATCATGCTGGAAGAGGCTCTTCTTGACCCAACACAGCAACTTCATCACCCTTACACTGTACTTCAGAGCAATCATCCAGAAATAACTTCAAAATGGGCAATTTCAGTACCTCCCTTCCACAAAGCCAGCCCCTGTGCCCCAGAGCAAGCATCCGAGTCACGGTGCGGGGGTCAGAGGAGCCGGCAGCCTCGCACGGTCAGGCCAGAGCCCACCTCCCCTTGAGCAGACAAGGATGTCAGGTAAGCACTAAAAACATGGGCTTTAGAGCACGTGACCCTCCCTCCAATCTGTCTTTCGGCCTCTGCAGCAAGGGGGTCACCCCACCTTCCCCTCGCTCGGGGGACACTGCGGGACACCATCATCTCGCTCTTGCACTGCTGCTGTTTGCTGTGGCCAGCCTCTGCGGACTGTATTTTCTTCATTGCAAAATGGTACTAGTCCCAAAGAAGGAAGAGAAGAGGTTCATTCCCTATTTGGAATTTTCTTAAATGAGATTTATTTTGTGTGAATACTTCCCTAATAATTGCATGGATTTGTATTGCCTTTTCCATATTATCTGAACCCAAAGTGACCACAGACAGTATCATACCTGCAAACTGCAGAACAGGTTTGACATCTAATTTTTTTGTTCCTCACTGTTTCATACTTCAAAGCCAAAAAAAATGCCTGGGATGGACTTTCATAAGTAGAACATGAGCAAGATTTACTCGTTCTTAAATCAGAAGGCAGATCCCACGTGTAGCTACTGGGAAGTGATCTAATTTGTCCAAGGTATCCCAAAGGAGCTTGTAAAAATCCTTACTCAGAGCATAACCACCCTGGCATTCGAGGTGAAACGGAGCATCCCTGCCAGGGCTGGGACGGGGCAGCGCCGAGGCAGGCACCCCCCCTCCACTGCCCCACGCCTCTGCTTCCACACCAGCACGACCGCATCGATCGTCATTACAGAGCACCCCGAATGTGGATTAACATCTCGACAAACCCGGGCAGAGCGCTGAGGCGACAGCTCCACAGGCCTGTTTATATCTTAAACAGAGAGATTGCAACCCAGCAGAAAATGAACCATGTGAGTACTTCCATGAGAACTTCTCATCTCCCTCTGGCATCCGCATAAACCATTCACCAGTGAAGGAGACGGCTGCCTCCACGTCGCCGTCTTTTGAAGCACTCAGGAGAAGCACATCAACGCATTCCTCTCCCCATCCAATTTGCGGTGCCACCAGTGCATCACGGTTATTGTTTTTTCCATTCTTTTATGTTCTAGGTACTTACAGACACCTCTCTCTTCCCCAGAAAAGCCTTCCAGGAATTGCAGGCTAGCGGACTCCTCTATAAATTCTGGCTCCCTGTATATTGCGGTTTCACGCTTTTGTTACACCACTTGTCACGTGCCTTCTCTCTCGATGAACCTTCTTCATCTTCTCATACCACATTCTTTTCAGATGTCTAAATACTATACTGATTTTTGTTAATCTGTTTTTAATTTTGCAAAATTATTTCTAACTCATTAATTCTAGTGGCCAAATTAAAAACTATATGTGCATCAGTATTCTGTGAAAATATTCCACTATTTTTTCTCCTTAAAAATACTGGGGTTTATGGGTTTCTTAATGTAACCTAACAGAGGGCTCTTTTTGGATTGCTGCTCTGTATCAAGCAGATGTTTTCACCGAGCTACGCACTACAGTGGGGCTCCCTCCTGATTTCTCGCAGCTGATCAGACCGCATCAGCACACCTGAGCTACTGAACTTAGCTTTTTCCAACATTCATTTTCTTTAACTCACTGACAGTACAGTGAACTGCATAAAGTTTAAGGTAATGTTATTTCTGAGGTCCAGACAAAGGCGGCCAACAGCATCGGGGGCTGCGTTAGGAAGGGCGATGCCGGCAGGTGACAGGAGCCGACGCTTCTCCCCTGCTCAGCTCTCCTGGGACCAGACCTGGAGTGCTGCACCCGGTCTGGGCTCCCCAGTACCAGAGGCAGATGGGGATACTGGAGTGCGTCCAGCAAAGGACCACAGAGATGACTGAAGGACTGGAGCATCTGACACAGCCAATACGGAGACACTGAAGACCCAGCTGGGGATGGTCCTGAGCAACCTGCCCCAAGCTGCCCCTGCTCCGAGCGGGCGGGCTGCGTTGGACAATCTCCAGAGGTGCCCTCCAGTCTCATACCACAGCATCTACAAATGTAATCAGCTCACAATTGGGATTTTTCAGAATGTGAAGCATTATTACAAATTCTTTAAGGCGAGTTTTTTCCACGTCCCTGTTTCAAGTGTTATTTCAAATGAATCCCTGTTGAAACTTATCTCAGTACTAACAAAATAGTATCCACTAACCTTAAAGCACAGAAAAACTACCCTTTAAAGCAAATTAAAATTCAGTGCAAGAATGGTACGCTCCTCTTCCCTTCAGCTGATAACACCATTGTTTCATGAAATGCCAAAAGTGATATTCTTTTAAGTTCTTCTATTTGCAGTGTTCTCAACGTGGCTCCTTAAGAACAAGCTACTTGCAACTGGAAATGACTAAATAACACGGAATATCACTTGGCATTGATTGACATGTTTTATTTTTGTATTGATACAGAAAAATGTTCCTCTGTGCAAGTTTTAAATATAAATTTCCATTGACAGAACATTCTGTATTATTATTGCTGCTGTTTCATCTGTCACATTTTCACTAAGCTTTGAAAAATTAAACTGTTCTGTCATAGTCTCATTGTCCTTTGTGCTTCTCTGGCAGCCGGTACAGTTAAAAAATAGTTTCCAAAAAAGCAGGGAAAAAAGGATTTATTCTTCAGCATTTGTGATCTCTCATTAAGGAAAGCATGATTAAGAAAGAGCACATAAAACACGCAATTTCACAGCAATCTGGATTACAGAATATATCCTTTGCCATATTCAAAATAAGGCAGTGGAATGAAAATGCTCTGTACCGATTTACAGATTGGAGCAGTTTTAGTGAAAACGCCTCTCCTCCTTATCTTCACTTTAGCTCAAGCATTGGTGAGATTGCAAATAATTATTTTCTCGCCTGAGAAGGCAAAGCATGGTTAGAATAACAAGCAGCAGCCGAGTCCCAGCTTTGATACAAAGAACGTTTTCTTTGCCCAGGCCATGTAAATTAACGCATTAAAAACCTAAAAATTGTTCTAATTTTTAAATTCAAGTGCAAACGAATAGTCAAAGTCTCAATCAGATTTTAATTAATCAATGATTAATGGCAGAATTAATCTTTGCAAATCCCATAAACGTCCTACTGCATGATTTTCAACACTACTTTAAGTAGGGCAGCTGAAGAAATTCAGCTGGGGAAGGAGAGTTGGAGAGGTTTGCAATCCAGAAGCAGCGTTAGCTTGGGCAGGGTTTGTGCTTGGTTCCTGCCCTAAAAGAACCAGCGGCAGATGGCAGAAGTCAGAGGAGGGCCACCAAGACTGCTGGATGGCAGGGGCTTCTGATGCAGGAGAGGCTGACGGCGAAGGTTCATTCAGCCTGGAGAAGAGATGGCTCAACCGCATCTAGGGATAGCTGCAGCCTTCCACTATCTGCAGGGGGCTGTGGAGAAGACACGGCCATGGTCTTCCCCGAAGTGCAAAGGGAAAGTACAAGACACTACAGTCACAGGTTCTAGCAAGGAAATTTTCTATTTGGTACAAGAAAGAAGTCCTTCACAAAGGGAGCTGGCAAGGCCCGGAAGAGGCTGCCCAGAGAGCCCGCTGATTCTCCATCCATGGAGATCATCAAAACTCGCCTGGACAAGCCCTGCACAACACGGTCCAGCTTTGAAGCTAGCCCCGTTTGCAGCAGGCGGCTGGATGAGATGACCTCCCGAGGTCATTGCCAACTGCGAGTATTCTGCGGTTCTCGGCAAGCGCTGGCAGCAGGAGATGCTCCCATAGAGAGAGAAAAAATGAGCTTGGTAATTGAGGAACCAGCCTCTCTTTATCTTCACCAGCACACGAACGGCATTCAAAGGCCCTGCAAAACTTTTTCATGCAAAAATTAGCACACGGCCCAAGATATCAATCTATTTTAGAGGACAACTCTCCGCTGTTTCTCTTTAGATTTTTCTTTTATTTATTCTCCAAAGACATCTTCTGCTTTAGAGAAAAGATGGGATTTTAATTTTTGTCTAAAGGCAACAACAAAAGGAACCATTTATAGTAGAAAGCTCTGCTTGGCTTTGAAGCGTTCAGTTCAAATAGGTGCCTGATAAAAGTACATTTTCTAGCACAATGTATAGTAAAGTACATTTCAAACCCACCACAACTTGCATAAAAAACTGAATGAAAGCATTAAAAGCTTAATGAATCTGTTAAAGGCAAAAAACTTTACAAAACCGCCTTGCTTGGCTCTCGAGCGTGCTTCAGCCCACGCCGAAGAACAAAACCCTTTAGTTTCAAACCTGCAGCGCGGGAACGACCGAGCCGGGACGCTGCCTGGCGCCCCGCTCGGTGCCAGGAGCACTCCCGGGCTCGGCCGTGTGGCTTGGCCGAGTTCCCTTCCACGTGGCACGGCTTGGGAGAGAACCTCCCGCGTGCCACCAGGCCCATGATGGGCATCCGGCCTGAATGCCCAGGAACAACTTCTCGGGTCACCACTCTTTCTTTAAGGAACTCAGGACCTTAAGGCAGGTCCTCTGAACTGCACCTACGTTGAATATCCAAGTGACTTGTGCAGAGTCACAAAATGACTCTGGTAGAAGGAAAGAGAATTAGAACTGGGCTTCTAAGTTACAGCCTCTTCTGGTACAGACTGGACTATCCATCTGTCAATTAAAAGAAAAAAAAGGAAAGGTCTCCTCGTTTCGTTCCCATCTCGCCAGCACTGCCGGGAGCGGGTGTATTGCCCAGGCTTGAGGAGAAGGAGGGAGAAAGTCGGGCAGTTTCCACAAAATCTACATTGCAGCCCTGAGCTTTTTGCTATTTTGCTTTTCAGCCAACCAAAGGGGACATAACAAACTATCACAATAAAGATTTTATGATTTGCTTTCTGTATCTGTTTTCAAGCATGGTATCACCTTGTTCAGCAAAACACGAGCGAAAACTGTGACTCTGTAAAACCCGGCCATCACCACTTCCCGCTCCCTCCTGGAGGACCCGCGAGCCTTTATGTAACATCGCCGAAGTACTTCTGAAATCTTGCACGTAAGATGCCATGGAAGTACAGATTATTTTGGTCACTATAATCTGATTAGAAATGCTACCCACTCCCACAACACTCGCAGAAACCGAAAAACAACAGAAGCTGTTTCACACGGTAGCAGCTGATCCCCGAAACACGCACTGCCGCGATGATTCACCCTTTAACGAAGAGATACAACCTTTTACCTCAGAACAATTATTTCACTGTTAAGAGACACTCAGCTGCCGTATAATTAGAAAATAACCGCTCCCTCACGTGCCGCGCTTGGCTCGCAACGCGTGCAGTGGGTGCCGTGCGGGCAGGGCCGTACCTGGTTCTCGTCCTGCACCTCCATGCTGTACTGGGGCCCTGGCTGTACCTCCGTGACTTTCTCTCCGAGGAGGAAGCCCAGGCGAGTCATGAGTGTATTTGCCGCCTCATCGACGGATGGAGGGGGTCCCAGCTCCTGCTCAGTATCACCTAAACAGGTAGAAAAAACAGATTCAGACAGGAATTGTTTGCCTTGGCTATCGCTCCGTGTTTTTACCAACAAATCACCGCTGATTTTTCGTGCTGCAATGTCAGTATCCAGGTTTTCGGGTTACTGAAGTCTGTTTTAACATTATATGCTGGTCATTAATTTTAGGTTATGCATTGCTCCAGTTGTCAATATGTGTTTCTTCTAACGTTAGCCGTTATTTCTCCTCTCATTGCTCGTTATAGTCCCAGCACCTCCCATGGAAGCAAACACAGCCATCTTGCTTCCCCATACCAGAAGCACCAGAGCCACCCAGGAATGAGATTTCCTGGACCAGCAATGGCGAAGGGAGAGCCTTCCCCCTCCTCTCTCACATCGAAACTACCTCCAAGTTACTCGCAGAGAAGCCAAGGCCACGCCTGGTGCCATTCTGAAAGCAGTCCACAAGGTGAAGGTCCACCAACCAAGCAGTTAACGACAAATAACAGGACAGAAACCCCGCGTGCATCTTCCACGATCATCACTGCTTCTGCCGCGCTCACGGTTACGCAGAAAGCTCCGCTCTCCAGACACCGAGCCTCCCCGTGCAGTCACCTGAATTCTCATCCTAAATCCAAAATTCCTCTCTTATGCCTGTAGCAGTCAAATCACAAGCTGGACTGTCTCTCTCTCTTTTCTTTCTTTCTTCCTTCCCCACCCAGCCTACAAAACAGGTCAAACCCAAAACGACAGCTTATTTTTCCTAATTCTTTTCTGCCATCTGTATGAACAGCAGCACACCCAAGTGTCCAGCTAGCACTGCACACCTGCAGGAAGACCAGGCACGCATCCTGGCATTTCCCTGTCTTTTCAGTTTTGTAACAAAAATTTGTGGAGGTTTTTGACTCCACAGCACAAAGGTAAGTTGGGTTCTCAAAGTCAAGTCCTTCCCTGTTCACACCAGCAGCAGTATTAAAGCCTGAAGGTCAAGTTCTTTCCACTTTACACTGAAGCAATACTGTGTTTAGTGCAGCTGTAGGAGACTAATTAGGATTTGCAATTAGGCTGCAGTTAGTTATTCATCTGATAATGTACAATCTGGAGAAGAGCCCATCTCCATTTCCCAGCTCCGGCCTGGCTCGGGGGTGCTCCAGCACTCAGCCCGAAGCTACATTGCAAAGATGTTCCTTTAAATATCGCTTTTTGATAACCGCAACTGCAAACCGCAAATCACAGAATCTGGGATATGTACAAGACCTCAGAAAATTTAAGCCAGCTGCTCCCAGAAATTCCCATTTAAGCTCATTATGTACATCTCACGGAAGCTTAGAGCAATTTTTCAGTGTCTCACCTGCACTCCTGCAAATTAAAAACCCTGGAGCATCTCACACGCAACCATGTCTGCATTCACAAGCACCATCAACTCTGGTGACGAGCATCTGGAGCCGGCCTTACGCGGTGACTTCACTGTTAGGAAAATGGATTACACAGCACGGTAATAGAAGCTGTCTTCTCAGTTACTGAATCCCTATTGTACTGCTTTATACAACGCTGACGTGAATAGGGTAGATTTAAGAGAGAGACAAATTTAGATGGATGTCCCAATTTTCTGAACTGCTGACCACCCACATTCGATTTGTGGGCATTTGCTATCTCTGGGAGTCAAATCCAGAACAGACGCATTTACGTAAAATGAAAATTATAGAGACTTTTATTTCCAAGATTATTTTTTTCTTTAAAAAAAGCAGACTTTTTGAATTTATCCTACATATCTGTGTCTAGGCTATGGCTCCGTTCATCATTATTAGAAGTTTGTTAGGCATTCCCCGTCCTGGTTGCAGAACACCTGGTACCAGTAACACCCACACCGGGCTGACTTACGCGTCATGGCAGAAGGGAGCCGGGCCCCCCCCCGCACTGCCCAGCCGGGAGGATTCAGGGAGAGCGTCCAGACGACGCTGGGCAGGCTGCAGCGTGCGGGGCCGAGCCGCGTCTCCTCGACCCAGCGTTAGGAACTGCTCCCAGAAGCACACAGAGCAACTCGCTCCGTGAGGGCTGCGCTTGACCTTGCCCTTAAACCTCCCCTTCTTTTGTACTACCCCTGAAATATCTCCAAGGGGCACAAAGCTGTCTTTCACCTGCAAAGTAAGTAAAATTATGAGCTTATCCCAGGTACAGAATCACAGAATCCCAGCATGGCAGGGGCTGGAAGGGACCTCTGTGGGTCACCCAGCCCAACCCCCTGCCCAAGCAGGGGCACCCAGAGCAAGCTGCCCAGGAC